GATTTAAATAAAGTTCTTTCAACAATGAATTCTATTGATCCTGCTATTCAGTTCACTTTTGAACTTGAGACTTGCAATTCTCTTCCGTTTCTCGACATTCTGGTCACACGTAACACATCCAACTTCAGTACTACGGTTTACCGTAAACCTTCATCGGTTTGCCTTCCACCACACTTTAAATCATGTCATCCGACTAAACAAAAGTTAGCTTCATTTTATTCCTATGTTTTCCGTGCTCTTCAAGTTTGCTCCTCCAAACTCCTCCAAACTAGCCCTTGATGAAGAACTAAATTATTTAAAAGCAATAGCTATTGACAGGGGCTTTTCACCCAACATTATTAATCAAGCAGTTAAAAAATTCTCATCTCAACACACTAAAAGCCACACTCTTGTTTTAGGAGATTATAAAAATTCTGTTGTCATTCCCTTCTTTCCATCAATTAGCTATAAAGTTGCACATATTTTGCAGAAATTTAACTTTCGGGTTGTTTATTCTCCCATCAATAAAAATTCCGACTTTCTATACTCAAGGACCCCATTCCGGATATGAATTCCTGGGGTATTTATAGGATTCCTTGCCAGTGTGGTTTAATTTACATTGGCCAAACTAAGAGAGCCTTAAAATTTCGCGTCAAGGAACATGAGGCATATGTTAGAAAAAAGGAAGTCTTCTGTTGCTCAACATTGTTGGTCCGAAAATCACACTTTCAATTTTTTCTGCTGCCAAAATTATTCAAAAAACATCTTCCATTGGAGAAACTGGATTTTCTAGAGGCATTTCACATTCATAAAAATCTTTCTGTTCTAGTTAACGATCCTAATTCCAATCCAAATTTGCCTTCGGCCTTTAAGAAATTATGTTTTAGTTCTGGTTTCGCCAACAGATGGCGCCACTTGCTTATTCTTGTCCAGGCTTTCTTATCTTATCTAATCATTATTTCCTATCTTGTTCATTTGCGGTTTTGCAGCTGAAGGATGATGGTTCGGTAAAACCATCGAAACTAGTCCTGTGAAAATTTTGTAAATATAACGCTGATTTTTGTTGTTTGACTTCTGAATTATATTTATTGGGTGATTGTGTATTAATCTAAAACCCCAAAGTCTACATTTTGTTTCTTTCTATTACTTTAGGTTATAAAAATCATCATCATCAATGTTCCTACATGCTGTACTCAGCTGCCTTGTAAAAATCGGAACTTGTTACATTTAATACAATATTTTATTATCATGTCTGCTAATTCAATAGTATTTGATAATATAAGGATTAAGTAAATTTGAACTAATTTTATTTTTACCAATTCTTTACAGTTATACCACATTCATTACATTATTTTATATGCATATGTTTCAACCAAAACATTTTCAGCACATTTTGAGAAAAACTTGCCATCAGTTAGCTGTACTAAAATTACTCTGTAAATCCGAGTAGTTTTCTTCTTGAAGTTCTTGAAAATGATGGTTTCCTTTCGAAAAAATTAACAACCGTAGGAAACAAATCATTTCTTAAACATCTTCTTAATGTTAATATATAGAAATTTAGGAAATGTTAAAAACGTTAATGAATGTAATGTGTTCCCCCTTAAGAAAGATGAACCTGGGGCATAGTACATACATAATTCCATCAGCATAATAACATATCAAATTACTGAAATGGGAAAATAATATACAGCCTTGAAAGCAATCTTGCATAAGCATGTTGTTTGTAGCTCTTGCGCTAATCCTGGGGCAATCTTTATATAGGCGGACTTTCCTTACCCATTTTTTTGTCATTCTCAATCGAATTTATTTTGATCATAACCATTCAACAACTGTCCATGTTTGTTGGAGCAACACGGAAAAATCTATTTTAACCCAATATTACTTTACAATGCCATATACTCTGCAAATACTTAAATGCCAGATTTGTTTTACAATCATATGCAATACATCTACCACCTAACGTATTTATCTTCTTTTCAAATTGTGCCAACATAATAATCAATCCACACCAAGTTTTTTTCCTGGGTCATGTCATCAGTTTTTTTTATGGCGACATTCGGTTTAAAACACTGTTTTCAACTCAATTTGCATTCTGCCATTAAACGCGAACGTGCACACCAGAATTTGCTAAGGTAAATTAGTGAATGTTAAAAGAGTGAACTTATTCTTTGTGGTTATTTGCTATCACGAAGTAATTCAATTCAATCCAATAAGTTTAAATGAAATGCAAGAAAAAATGTGTATAATTTACTATTCCACATCCAAGGAGTCATGTGGTTTCACTCAGATTTTTTAATTTGCTAATAAGGGGGAGCTTGCTTTTGAAAACATTTAACATAATAATGATACATGTGAAAAATTAGCTATTTCTGTTTAAGATAATTGAATTTTAATTGTTTTTACACTGAATATTTGGTACTGTACTGTTATCAGGACTGGCATTAGGAACATACATATGTATGCATGTATATATACTGCACAGTACTTACTAGCTTTTCAATTTTATAAGTACGAATATATGTCTGTGTATACATATATCCTTATATGCTCATACATACAAACACACGTTCATACATTTCTGAATTTGGTCCTGATAGCAGAACAGTACGGAATAATTTATTTTAAAAATTATGTAAAAAAATTTTACTTTAATTATTATCTTGTGTTTAATTGTGTAATTTAATTTTAATTATCTAAAATAATTGTTTCAGGTTTATTCTATAAACTCTAAGCACTATGTTCCATTTTCATTTTTGTGTGCCTTAGAAGAGGGTTACTTCTCAGATCTCTCCGTTTTTTCAAATAATGGAAAACAGGTATTTGAAAAGTTTTTGATATATTTAAGACCTTTTTCATTTTTTGAAATATTTTCAAAAAGTTTATTGTTTGTTATGGTTAACCAGAAAGTACTGTTTTGGTTTTCTGCTTTATAAATACGAGGGCCATCCAGGAAGTAATACTTTTCCATCTGTGTCCGTGGGGCGGGGCTAGCGCGGCCCTCTTGGGGTCAGAGCGTTGCGCAGCTCAGTCTGCATCTAGCCGTGCTAGTGAAGGTTCGTGCTGTGCTCCGTTCAGAACTGTGACGTTTGAAATGTCTGCGTTAAATTGAAAATCCCCGCGAGCTGCGAGGGTGCGCTCAGTATATAAGTTTCTGACTGTCAAAAAACTGTAAACCGATAGAAAATCTATCGGCAAGCTTTCGTGAAGTGGATGGGGACAACATTATCACGAAGGTGGAGTGCGTCAGTGGGTTCATAAGATTTCAAAAATGGCCCGACCAATTTGTCACGACGAAGATCGAAAGTGGGAGACCCAGCATATGCCACACGAACTCACTTCTCGAAAAAGTCGATGCTAAAGTCCGTGAAAATCGAAATTTTCACATAACGGAACTTTCTTCTTTGAGTTTTTCCCAAATTCGTGAAGTTTGTTGCACGACATCATCACGAAAAGCCTTGTCCCAACAAGTTTTGTGCAAGATGGATTCCAAAAATCTTGACAGAGGACCACAAAAATCTCGAATAGGACTTCACAAGCGGCGTTGACTTTTTTGGACGCTTACCATAAGGATGGTGACTCTTTACTCGACTCGCATCTGTTACTGGTGACGACACATGGGTGAAACATTGAAATGTGAACGAATTGCAATCAATGCAGTGGGGCACACAAGTTCTCCCCAAAAAACCCAAGAAATGCTGCACAATGTCGGCAAAGCAGCAGATGGCGACTGTTTTTTGGGACAGAAAAGGTTAATTTTGGTGTACTTCCTGGAAGAGGCACTACACTAACTCTCAAAGGTATTGCCAAACTCTCCAAAAAACTCAGAAGAGCAATTCACAACAAGCGCAAAAAAAAGAGGAATGTTGAGCTCTAAGGATCTTGTTGATTCAACGACAACGCCCGGCCCCACCGGCAATGTCACTCGTAAAGTTTTGAATCTTTTAAGTGGAGTTGTTTCTCATCCGCCGTACACCGACCTGGCACCGAGCGACCTTCCACCTATATCCGAGCAATGAGAAGTGCTGGCTATGCAGCGTTTTGATGACGACGCACAGCTGCAAGAAGAGGTAACGAAGTGGTTAAGGCGCAGCGGCCGGATTTTTCGGACAAGGACTTTCCAAGCTCGTACACGCTTACGAAAAGCCTTAATTTGTATGGTGACTATGTAAAAAGTATATTTGAGTGTGGCTTTCATCCTGTATATAACTAAAATTTGTTTCCTATACTTTGTTTATTTTTTTATTCCCAAAACGTAATCGACTTTCTGTATAGCCCTCGTTATCTGAAATCAAGTATAAAATCAGTATAATAGTATAGTAAAGGTACTGGAATTTATTATTATTTAATATATAAATTTATTGAAGTAATTATAATATTGTTCAATATGCATATTAGTATGATCATTAAAGTTAGAAAAATAGTAAGAGTGTGTTTTGTTTCAAGCAAACAAATACATTTTGTGATAATCCTTACAAAAACAAATCAACACTTCGGGGTAAATTTTTAATTCAGCTAATGAATGCTAAATCTCATCACAGAATAACAACAACAACAGCTTGTCCAAGCTCTCTCAGCTGAATTTGTAATGTAACTTGAGCATGGATCTGTTTCAACACAAGCTTTTGGAAATTTTGGTAAAGATCGATTGGCAAGGTCCATGAAAAATGTATCTCGCATTTCACATAAGTTATTTTTACATTTTGAACATTGCCACATTTAAAAAAAAAAAAAAAAAAAAAAGAGAGAGAGGGAGAGATCAACAGTTTCATGTAAGAAACTAATTAAAAAATTCGCAACAAATAAAAAGAAATAAAATAAGTGTACAATATTACAACAACGCAATAAAAAGTGTTTAAATATTTATGGGTATGTGCAATATCACTCGCTCCTTAAGAACTGTAGTCCCGAGCCGTAGAATCTCCAAGATCAGAAAAAATGGACCCTCATTTCCATAATAAGGCACAAGTCTATCATAGTGCACTATTTTAGGTATGGAGGTGTTTTTTGGATAAACACCACTACGTCACTCAGCTTTTTAATCGCAGGAAAGAGCCCTTCCCGGAATGTCTACAGCTTGAGTGATGTTCCTTAATGTTGTTTGAGATTTTCCAACCAGATCTGATCTTCTTCCTTACTTTCATTCTCCGTGGACTTGGCATCATAGCTTGTCTTCATCTTCTCAGTCCTTGTCTTTATCTTTCTCCTGATGAACATTTTCTAACATACGTGCAGACCTCTAGGTATTGCTTGGGTAAAGAAGATATGTCTGGCAGACGTTCGAAGAACGAGTCACGCTGCAGATTAAGAACAGGTTATATACTGCATGCAGCACATCATTTGCAATGGAGGAAATATAATGTTTTCATTAGTGGCAATCCTTATGCTAGCGGGGATAACGGCATTTTTAGTCACAGTCCTACTGGTTCCAGGATATTGAGATAGATGATCCAATATTGAGTCATTAAATCCCTGCACCCTGCTACCCAACTGTGGATGTAAGGGAATGGTTTAAGTCATTTCTGTATTGAAAATTGTACTACATAGTCTATGGCAAATGCGAAGTTTTTCATTGGTCAGAGTGAATAAGAAGAGACACTCAAAATTATGAAATCCAATTTTATTCTACGACTTCTGCGATAGTTGAAATTTCTGATCAGGGAGACGTAAGCTTCCAGTCATTCACTAAAGTAAGAATGCTAGGAACTTGAGATATCAGCAACATGAACTGCCATCTGACAGCCTTTGTCTTTAGATTCCCATTTGCAGTAAAGAATTCCATCTCACAAATAGAAAATTCCATAAACCCCACTTCTCATTTGGTCACGAATAAGAGTTCAGTTTAAAGCGAGTAATTTCAAATTTAAAATAGTTACTATCAATATTTTTTAAATTGATTTCATGTGAAATTTGAGAAATTGTAAATGTAACGGAATCAGTCTCCTAATTTCTTTTTCTTACTTCGTTTTCTGTGTGTTTTGATGTCTGAAAAGCATACAAATAGAGGTTGACTTGAACTGCAGTCTCAAATAAGATGAAATATTAAATGCTGTGCAATGATGATGGTGCATATTACAATTTCAAATGGGGAGTAGTTGGAAATGCCTTGAAGTGACTTATTTAAACTAACAGACTATAGTCTCTGTTAAAAAGTTTAATTGATATATTTTTAGGAAACATGAAAGTGACTGGTTTCTGAACCTGGAAAATTTATCTGTAGAATTGCACTTCATTCAACAAAAATAATGAAACTGGTAGATTTGAGCTAATATGAATTCTCACGGTCATAAAGATGATGAATTGAGACAAAGAGCTATCAGTAGACTTCAGGCTGGTTGGTTCCAAGTAGAGGTCATTCAGTGGTTATTAGTGTCTTAAATGGTGGTACTCAGTTTATGGCACCCAAATTCCAAACTATGGATATCATCTCTGGAAGGTCCAGCTTAAGGCCAATCAATAGCCATGATACCTGCAGAGGATCAATATATAGCATTAAATACAAAATGCTATAAAAAGGTGATAACTAGAGAGCTCTTGTAGGATCTTGCTGCTGCATATGGAACAGTCAAACAAACTATGCACAAATGTCTAATAGAATAAGTCACTTATGCTTTCTGTTGCATTTTCAAGAGATTGCAATAGAAATCTCATCTTTTATCGAGCCAGGCATACCATTTTTGGACATAGCAAAATTGAGGACATGTTCTCTGCAGTGATATGTGAAATTTCAATACTCAGAACCCAGAGTTATTCTGGAGACAGAGGATTTTTACTGCGTGTTGTGCGGATGAAACTGACCAACCTAAATCCTGTATAGCACATTTGGGATGCTTTTGGAAGAGCCATTGCACAGTGTTAATACCTTTCCATAACCATCTAAACCAATGGTTACCTTACCATTTTTAAGTCCTTACTGTGAGCTACCAACCAAAAGAACTACCAACCTTTTTTTAAAAACCTCATTTCTTACATTTGTTATTGCCTATAAACTTGCACTTCTAGTAAATATGAAATCAATTTTAGTTAAACTGTATATAACAAAAAGAAGCTGAAATTGAATTATGCATAAGAAAGAAATTGAAGTGCATTTAGTAATAAATAGCAAATACAATAACAGTTTTTTTTTTTTTTTTTTTTTTTTTTATCAGACGTATGAACTTTAATGAGAAGGAATGAACTCTCTTTTTTGGTCATCAATATTTTTTTTTTACTGTTGGGATAGTGGGATAGTAGGTAATGGCAGTCACTCGAATACAGTTGTCCAAGTGTTCATCAGCGAGTCTGTTTCTGTACTTATTTTTAATAAATTTCATACTAGAAAAAGAAATCTCACACAAGTATGTAGAGCTAAACATTGCTTTCACTTTGAGACAAACGTGGATCAAAATTGAGTCCAAAATTCTTTAGGAACAGTAGGCCAAATATTTTCAGAGCTAGAAGAAAGCAATTTGGCAAATAAATCATTTTGAAAATCAGTCAGTTGTAATTCCACTGCAGCATAGTCTTCTTGAAAATCAAAATGCTCCATGACACAAGTAGAGAACTATTTAGCATTAATCTCTACAAAAGGCGATTTAGCAAACTGTGCAACAATTGAAAACCTCTTGAAATCTTGAAGCGTTTCTTGAATTCTGTTCTCAAATCTGAAATAATTTTAACATATTTTTTGGTGCTGTAAAGAGGCATTGAAGACCCTTGCTTATCAAGGATTTGTTTCAAACAGGCAAAGTGTTTGTATTCACCTTGTATGATATGTTCTCCACAGTTCCAGCTTTTTTGAGAAAGAAGCAACATCTGAAATTGTTCCACCAATATCTTTACCCTTACTTTGAAGCTGCAAGTTAAGGGTACTTAAATTTTCGCTGATGTCTGCGAATAAAGCAAAATCCTGCAGCCAAACTGTATCTTCTATTTTATGGAAGGATTCCCTTCGTTCTTTAAAGAATTCTGCTATGCAAGAAGCAACTTTTGAAAATATTGTAAAACTCTGCCTTTACTCGATCAAGTTCAGCAGGCAGAGCTCTAAACAAACGTCTCTGAATTGCATGTACTCTAACTTTGTTCGCTATTTTTATGACTATTTATATTGTCCATACTTTGAAACTTTCCATACAGTGATTCCTGGTGTATTACACAATGGTAAGACAAATTTCAGAAAGCTGTTGTTTGCGACACAAGGTTATGAATCCCTTCTGTCTGTCTGTCTTCCATTGCTAAAGCTCGATCAGTTGCTATGCCCACTAACTTTTATAGATATATTTTCAGAGTTCATAACATCTTTAACTGCTAAAAATGTGTCATGTTCTGTTGTGCGTCCTGTTAACAGTATAATCTTTACCAGCTCCTCTCTTATTTCAAAATTATCAAAACCCCTTCTTGCATTGATGGTCAACTGAGCTGTATCAATTGAATCAGTTGATTCATCAAATTGCAGAGAGAAATAGTTGTCAGTGATCAGTCAGTTTAAAGTTGTGAGGTAATGTCAGAATTTATAACCTCAACCCTTCTCATTTCTTTATTTTGAGAAAGCTGTACAGAATTAATAGCCGACATTATCTCAGTTTTATATTTGAAACTAGTATCGAATAGTGCATCTGCAGCTTCTAAAAATGCAATTTTGATTATTTCACTGTCTTTATATGGTTTCTTATCCTGTGCAATAATATTTGAAACCCGGAATGATGTCTTAGTTGCTGCTTTATTCTTGTTTAATGGTTTTTAAAAAGTTGATTGTTGAGGAATAAGTTTAGATTTTAGCTGCCTTTTCTTTTCTTAGAGCAGAGATCAGTGGGAAATAATTTTCAACCCCTTTGTGAACTGTTTTGAAGTGATGCTCAACTTTCCTGTTCTCAACACACACATTTGTCCTTTACCTGGATAAAAATGTGATCGGTTTCCCATTCCGAATGAAAGTGATAAGTTTTTTACTTTTTGCATGACCAAAACATCATTAGCTTAACATCATTAACAAACCTACCTTAGTAAAAATGCATAAATCAAACAAACTATCCAAGTTAGCAAGTGCCTGCTATACATATAAAAAAACAATGTGCACAACCTCATGTGTATACAGTCGACTATGAGATGAGGCTGACAGTGGCAATTGTATGGGAGAAACAAGCAATTGTTGTCGTCAGCACCAGCTCACTGGAGGAATCAAGGATAGCTAACTGGACTGTTAACGTGATCTATTGAAAATGTTTCCATGAGCTACTAGTAGCTTCCGATCGATGGTTTGGCAATCAATGATCTAAACTTTAAAACTTTCTTAGAAATGTGAGATATGTCATCAAGCTATGATCAACAATCTTATTCACAATATGAGGCCTATTTTGAGACATGCGATACTGTAATGGATAGCCTTATTATATTAGTTAGACCAGTTTGGAAATATGAGGTATCATGTGTAGGGCAAATTTAATTTTATTTGCATATCGCAAAACTTTTACCTCTTTATTTTGCTATATTACTGTTGGCTGTCTCATTGTATTAGGCACCTGCCTGTAAAATTTTATCACACCAAGCCAATTTTTCGAGATATTGCATGTTTTATGTGTGTATCTTTAATTTTGGACAGCAGTGTATTTAATTTAAACAATCTTTAATTTTTGAAGCTAAAGTTTTTAAGGAATAAACATACACTAAAATGCCATCACTATTCTAACAGTTTTGTTTATTTGCAGTTTAAAGTGCACAAAACTGTCTTGAAGCTTGGGAATTCATCAATAAATTGGAATGCTTCTCCATGTCTATTAAGTAATCTACCTGAAGATGTTCTATTCACCATTCTTCATTATTTATATTCTGAATGCCTACCGTGTGATCTTGGAGAAGAAACAGCTAGGAGTTGCTTAGCTTTTACTTCTAGTCTATCTGGTTTTGAAGCTTTTAGAGAGTTGTGTGAACTTTTCTTAAAAAATTCTGCTCTGAAGCAACGTAAGTATTTAGTGAAGTTTATATATTGAAACAAGCATTTGCTGTATTGAATATTTTACAGACTGTGGGATGAAAATATTTATTTTCATAATTTTTAGCAGAGTTTTGTTTTAAAACTCAGGTGTTAAAGTTAGACATACAAGATTGTAAATGGAGGGAAGAAAAATAACTTAGGTTTTCTCTCTTAAGGATTTAGAAGAAAATGATATTAAAAGTTTAAGCAAAAGACAATAGATGAAAGTGGTGTTGGGTTTATTAATAAAAAAGAATTAGTAGATCAAAATTTTTCTCTTGGTTTAATTATTAGAACTGTAAATCTTGATTTTAACAATATGTAAACAGACATAATAATATTTATTTAATGAAGATATATGCAACTAGTCTTACTGTATGTGTAAGAAATGTGAACTAAATTGCATATTTAGAAAATTAATTAATGTATGTACATTGGAATTAATTTTCCGTTTTTTGTCATCTTTATGTAAATTACAGTCTTGTTTGTCTTCATTTTTTATTATCATATGTTTTTTTTTTTTTTTTTTTTTTTTTTTTTTTTTTTTTTTGTTCTGTTTATCTGTCATCGCTGATGGTTTTAAGAAATTAAGAATTAAGAGGAGGAAATTAAGAGTTTGTTGAAAAAGTAAATAATTTTTTTAAAATAAATATTTAAGTTGTCTACAGTTAAACATCCTTTGTAACAAAAATGTCGTGTAAAACTAAAAATAAGCTGCATAATTCAATCTAAAAAGCTGTGATAAAATAGCCATATGTTTCAAACATCTTAATTTGTGTGGCGTGATTGTGATTATTGCTAAGAAATGTTCAGTTGTTATGAAGTTATCAGAAATTGGTTCAAATATGAGGCCTGGCTCAAACTTAGTCTGCTATCATTTCCAAGCCATTCAGCTTTCAGTTATGAAACAGCTGGTCTTTAAAAGTATTCGGATTTCCTATAATCTCATTGTAAACCATATTTCTTTCAATGTTATTTAAAGCATATGTGTTGATAAATTGGATGTTGCTTCTCATTTTAAACATTCTTTTAAAATTTTATTTACCTCAGAATGAATTCTAAATTTATTTTATGTGCGGATACTTCTTTCAACATGTTATCTATATTTTCTTTAAAAGTGCATCATTTTAAGTTTCAATCAAAACATTTTAAATATAAATTCTAATAAACAGCCTACATATACATAAGTTATTGTTTCAAATTTTCAAAATGTATATATGCAGTAAGATTAAAAAAGTAAGTAACGCAGTTCTCTAATTTTAATTTTTAGTAGACCTGTAACTGTCTATTTGAATTTGATATTTCATCTCTTTGTCCTAAAAATAGTAACTACTTATAATAAACCACTTTAAAGTGCATCATTTCAAACTTAATTCATATCATGTGATTCTTATATAATGCTAACAATGCAAGCACTTACACAAATGCTTCAGTGAATAAAATTTCAATTTTTATTAATTAAATTTGAGTGAATTAAAGTGAAATTTTTTATTAACAGTCGGATGGAAAATTTGAAACCGAACTTTTATCTTGGACACATCGCACTTCTGCCTTAGTTTACTGTTCTGCAAACATATCGCCATTTACTCCTCTTTCATCAATCATGTTGTTATGAGACATGTTAAAAACTAGCATGTTATCAAGATAGATGTGCAAATTGCTCCCATTATGATATGTGTATTTCATATTAAGAATCTGCTTCTGAAAAATAAAAAAAAATTGTGTCAAATTATTATGATAGTTACTATTTGACTGCAATTGACTTTCTTATCAAAGAATATTGTGGCTTCAAAGTGAGCATATTATATTATAACATTGAGTTTCTTTGAAGAATTAGTTTCTTCTCCTAAACAGTCTTACTAGATAGGTTTAGTTCTCAAAGACACTAGTTGTTATAAATTCCTGTAATCATCTTTCCCATCAATAACAACTGTCATATATTTCCATGTATAATGCACATTTATAATTTCAACTTACATTTTAAAATTTTAGGTATAGTCGCTGTATAATGTGCACCTTTTGCTTTATGAAGGTACATATGCTATGATCTAATCTTTTTGAAATGATTCATTATAGTAAATATGGCTCCTACCAAATGAAACAAACACGGTGGTAGCTTCAAATGCAAAGTCATTCAGTTTGCGAAAGAAAATAGAAATCGTGCTGCAGTATATTCAGTTTATATCATGCTGCAGCTTATTTAAGTGTTGGTGAAAGCTCTATATGTAATTGGAAGGAAAATGAAATCACAATAATTAGTATGCTGAAGAATAAATATGCTTTGCTTAAAGAAGTAATGAAATGGCCTATCATAGAAGAAAATGTTGCAAACTGGCTCCTAGAAAATCACAAGAATGAATTAATTGTAACAAGAAACAGCCTATATGTAATTTGCCTAAGTGGGCAAGAAGAATGCAAATAAAAGAGAAAACTTTAAAGCAATTTTGTAGTGATATAATAAATTTATGGCATGAAATAATTTACTTGTATGAGAAAAACAAAAGTTCCGCAAAGGTTTCCGAAAAATTTGGGCAAAAAATTGATACATTTTCAGAAGTACGTTGTTGACCTGTGAATTAAAAAAAAAAAAAAAAAAAAAATGCCGCATATTGGTAATATGGATGGAACTTCAGTAATGTTTGATATGATAGGAAATTAAGCAATTGAAGTGAAAGGAATGAAAGCAATTCAAATAAAGCAACAGGTCTCAAAACTGTCACCTCACCATAGCATTTTCCTGCTTAGTGAGTAGTACAAAATTAAAACCCATATTTTAAGAGAAAGATGCTGCCAAAATGTAATTTCCCAAATTGCTTTTTCAGTGTTCACAAGAAATGTGAAATTGTGGATAAGAAATGTTTGGCAAAAAACATCTGTTGCTTTGTAGAATCCTGACAGTCTTACAGTTTGGGACATGTTCAGATCCCATCTAAAAGAAAATTTAAAATGACAATTGTATGGATGTTAGAAAGTGAAACAGCATTTACAATAGAAGGAAAATATGTCATGTCAGTCTAGAAATAAAGTGAATAATAAAGGCATGGAATGAAATGAAACCCGGCATAATTCAAAAGTCATTAAAAAATTATAGTACGTCTTGCAATCTACATGGAATGGAAAATGATTATTTATGGATCAGAGTAACAGTGATGAAGAAAATGAAACAGAATTTGACGATGTGCCTTGAAGATACAATGGTAAACAAATATGATGAACTTTCCTTTTTATCCAATAATTAAAATTTTTATGTTCATAAGGCATGTCACTTTTTTAAATAAACAGCATTGTTAAATATCTGAAAATTAGATGTTTTATAACTTTGAACTTTGACTCAACTCAAAACATGGTGCCGGACAAAACTACCTAAAAATCAAATAAATCAAAACAAATCTAATTCATAATATATCAGAAGATTAATTGAATAAACAATAGTATAGTGGTAGTACAAGTTAAATTTTAGGTTCATGTTGTGAGTAAACCTATGCAAAAGGAAAAGCAATAACCCCAAATTAAAAAAAAACTCTGTTTCTTTAAAAACCTCCTGGCTCAAACAAATGGAGGGACATGATGAACCACAGTAAATTACACACAAGATAAATACACAAATGCAATTAAATTTTAAACACACATTTATTAAATTCTTGAATATATTATATTATTAGTAAATACTTGGTTAACTGATCAGTATCCCCTACCACATATTTTTACTATGTAAATATCGAATTTGCCACACAAAATTTCAGCTTAAAATAATTAAAACATTTAATTAATAATTAACATTTTTTTTTACAAATTAAAAAGGTGTTACATCTTTTAATTCTCCAAATAAATGGTTTTCATTAATTAGAATTGACATTTTTCTAACTCCAAATTCAGTAAGTGAAACAAATTTTAATCCTTCAAAAACTGGCCTTAACTTGAAATTATAAATCACTTCTCAGTTTTAGTAACTGTAATGTTTAATTTATATAATTAACGACAATATATACATGTTAGATAAATCATTATTAACTGTTCCACCACGGCATTGGGAAAACTAAGAAAAGAGAAAATAATCTTAAAATTTTTTCACTCACAGATGGAAGACAGTTTTTCCGGGTAGCAGGATCCACGAGAAAATGAGCTGATCCCATTTTTCTTCTGTCATAACCCTTTTAACCCTTTCGGAAGAGTCTAAAATTATTAGAAATCACGAGTGGCAACTCAGTCTAATAATTCTTCAAACAGCCAGTAATCGTGTTATCTGTCCATTAGGGGGGAAACAATTTTCCGAACAGAAAGATCTTTAGTATCCAATACAATCCAATCCAATCCACTGGGAAATGAGCAAAGACCCTTTTTTGGGGGGGGGGTCCAAAAAACTTTTGGAAGCATCCATTGATTTCGGGAACAAGGGGAGCATGAACCTCCTTCAGGAACAAATATGTATCTCATGACAAATTCCTTCAACTGGAATGTCTCAAACATGACTATTCAAGTTCTCCAAAATACACGATGGAGCGGCAAAACTAAATTTTGCGTAGAGCACTTTCGGTACAAACTTCTTAGCTGTAACAAATCTCTTCTGTCTATAACGAACAATTCTAACTGGAAAGCCTCTAACATGACTATTCAAAGATCTCAAAATACACAATGAAACGGTGAAATCAAATTTTGCGTAGAGCACTTTCTCCGTTCGAACAAATTTTCATCATCGGGAAAGCCACGAGAAACCTCGCCTCAGACCAAAGCTTTGTCTTTTACTGCTTTACATCTTCGCAACTCAAATCTGTTTCCAAATCCGACTCAATAGCCAGCACTCGCGAGAGCAAGTTCTGCAAGAGGTCAAGCTCCCACTCTTTTTTCCTTTTTCTTTCTCTTAGCTTGAAAATCAGAATCAGAAAATTCTAACAAGGTGCAAACCTCCCAGGAAATCTTAGTTTATCTGCCTCTGTAAGTTCATAGGCCTACAAAAAAATCATCAAATTAAATCTTACCAATCCCGGAATTTTACTTTATCTAGACTGAGAAAAAATTCCACCCTCACGACAAATCAAACACCAGAAAATCTGACAATGCAGTCCAAAAAACATCTACACACAATGTGGTAACTAAAAAGGACCCCCCCCCCCCAACTAACAAGAGGAAACTAAGTTTTACGAGAATCCAATTACCTAAGCTTACAACAACCCCACTGTCTTGAAGTAAACAAAATTTAAACTATAAAAGCGATAGGAAGACAATTTTCGTTACAAATGCTGTTTGTAAAAGGCGACAACACAACACCCTACTGCCTCCATTGTTAGTAGAAAAGCCATTAACCAATAAACCGGATGTGTTTCCTCACAACCATCTCTCGCCTTTGCTACACTTTCTACTCAAGAATAACGAGTTAAATAAAGCCTTAACAACTTAAGAATACTTTTTTCAAGATTAAAATATACATGAATACAAATAAAAATACTAGAATAACGATAACTTAAAACACATATTAATAATTAAATTTGTGACATGACAGCATTTAGGTGCACGTAGAAATCATAATTTTTGTATGCTCATCTTTTCCTTATTTTTGAAGCTATAATTTTTATACCTGGCTTATAACCAACAACCATAAATTTAGATCGTATTATTTTTATTTTTATTAAAAATGTGCATTATACACTGGAATATATGGTAAAAAATCAACAACATGACAGCATAACATCCCATCATTCCTTTCATTAAATGTTGCAATTAAAACATGAAAAATTAAATCATTCTATTTTTCTATGTTTCTTCCTATTTTTATTCTCTTCATGTTTTTAATAAAATTGGCATTTCAGTTGCTAAAGTATAAATAAGCATTTAGAATTATATATAAAATTGGAATTTTTATGGTTATCTACTGAAGTTATTTGTGTTCTTTTATTTTCAGAAATAATAACCTTAGTCACAGACATGCATACTTGTGCCAATCGTATTATAGATTACTTTAGTGGTAAAATTGAAAGTCAGTCTTCACCATCATCAACTAATGGTCCTTTGTCCAGTGACTCAGATGATGATGATGAAAATTTTGCAAATAACCCTGCCAAATTAAAATATGTTATTATACAAGCTCTACGAGAAATTGCTATAGGTAATTTTCCTCCTTAATCATGCATATGTTGTTACATTTCAGTTGTGCAGTGATGATTAGTGATTTGCTAAGAATATGTAATTTCCATTTCTTTGAACTTAATAGTTCATAATTTTTAAAGCAGTCTTTTGTTTCAAAATTTAATGTTCATGAAATTATATGTAAAAAAGTACATACTTTGTTGTAATTCTAAGCATGTTTTATATATTTATATAGATAGTATTTATGTATATTTATATACAAAGAAATATAATAAAACAGAAAATAAAGTTATTAAAATAAAACAGTATAACAGGCATTTTAACGTGTATTGAGCTGCTGTATGCAAGTGGTGTACAATGTAAAGTCTGAAATTAGGATATCCACTATCTGGAATGATCTAATATCCAAACTACAATAAATAAATAAATAAAAGTAAAAGAAAATTTTTAAAAACCCTTCCGTACAAAATTTAGGAATGGAGAATATAATAACAAAAGGAAACGTGTACCATTAATACGATTTTTCTCCAGACTGAGATTCCTGCATGTTACTTTCAAACACCTACTGTCTAGAGAATTACACTGTAACCAACAACAATGCATTAGTTGACGTACTGATGTTGGCCAAGATTACACACATTTGGTCTTTGAGTGCTTTTGGAGGAATAGGGTGGGCTTTATGCGTTTTGCCTCTCAATGCAATCTCTGTGGGTTGTAAATTCTAAAAATTTTGCTGCTTCTTAATTCTAATGCCCAGTGCTGCTCTTAAATTCAAAATTCTACCAATTCTAATTTTTGCTGTTTGGTGCTTTTCTAAATTCTAAAATTTTTGTCACCAGCAAATTCTGATGCCCCATACAGTTATCTACAATCAAGACAATTTTTTCTTCATCAGATAAACCAACTGAATTCAAATGTTGCTGAGTCTTAGGTATGCAATTATCTTCAAACCAATCATTCGTTACTGCTTGTGTCATCCATGCTCTTTTACTCGCACAATGTATAACGGAAAATCTTTACTTCTTTAAATGCTCGAGGTCGTGCATTTTTTCTGATCACGAAAAGTTTACACGTGTGCATTCCTGCAGCATTTGCACATGCTAAAATTGTTAGTCTTGCTTTGGAATCTTTGTCACCAAATGGAGCCTTTTCTGTAGAAATTGCCAAGGTATTTCACTGTACATCCTGCCAGAAAAGAGCAGTTTCATCAGCATTGTAAATTTGCTCTAGAGATAACTTTTTGCTAGTAGTGAGGTTAATGAATGCATCTGCAAATGTTTCAGCAGCTTCAGTATCAGCTGAAGCATTTTCAACTTAAATTTTTAACTGCCTTTATACCATGGCAATTTTTAAATATAATTAACCAGCCTGTGATATATGTGCACTCAGTTTTTAAGTTCAGCCATTAGCATTGGGCCCACCAATGAAGCCTTTTGCTGCAACACTGTCTGACCCATTCATTCATCACTTTGTAATAACTTTTAGCATAACGAATAATTTTTCTGTTATTCATTGCAAGTAAGATATCGGAATCTACAAAAATTTAAAAAGGTTTCTTTTTATGTTTTCTTATGTCTTTGAAGTTGGGTTTCCAGTGCCATACTCCACATAATTTTGAGACGGATTTACCTTTATCCATTTTTTGCAGCAATTCCATATTTTGTTTAATGGACATCAAAACATGCTTTCACTTTGTAGATCCTGTTGCAGCTCCAGAATTAGAATCTCTTTTCAACATAATTAAACGTTAAACTTAGTGCTCATAAAATTGCTGTAATAATAACAGTCTGCAAAAAATAATAAACTGGATCAAATCAGAAAGTTAAGGAGCTGCACAATCTGCTATATTAACTAAAATTCAATGCTTATTCCTTGCACATGCTTAAGGCTTATTCGAGTCTTGAATAAATAAATTCCTACATACACTTAAGGCTTATCGAGGGCCCTCGCTAGATATCTTACCTTCTGATGCATTTTTGTCGTCCCTTAATTTTGTTGCTCGGTGCTTCTCTAAATTCCAAGCATTTTTTTCTTTCTTACGTAGCGTATTCAAAAACTAAGTACCGTTTCATTCTAGCGCTGTGGTAGGCGTCCCGGGCAAGCGCACTAGTCTTTCTTGTTCACTGACTTTCAATTGTCGCCATTTTGGTTGCTCTATGTTGTGTTTTCAGTTTGCTGTGCACATTCAAAATGTTTAAGACAATTAGTTCTCCCACTCACTGTGAGATTCGCACCGTGATTAAATTTTTGAACACGAGAAATGTTAAACCGGCTGAAATTTATTGTCTAGTGACAGAAGTTTGCGGCAAATATGTGATAAGTGATGGAATGGTGAGAAAGTGGGTAAGAATGTTTAATGCAGGTCGAACAAATGTCCACACCAAGGCTCGGAGTGGTCACCCTTCTGTTGTCACCGATGATTTGGTAGGAAAGTTGATGAAGCAATTCATGAGAACAGATGCTTCATAATGACAACTTTTTCAGAGACATTTCCACAAATTTCACGTACTGTTTTGTTCGAAATTGTGTCTGACCGCTTGAATTATCGCAAACTGTGTTCCCGATGGGTTCCAAAAATGCTCACTGATGTTCACAAAACAAAGCGACTTGGTAGTGCCCTGACATTTCTCACGTGGTACAATGATGAGGGAGAAAACTTTTTAAACCAAATTGTGACAGGTGATGAAACTTGTGTGTGTCATTTCGCACCAGAATCGAAACAACAATCGATGGAGTGGAGACACACTCATTCTCCGAAAAAACAGAAGTTCAAAGTGACAATGTCATCACAAAAAATCATTTGCACTGTCTTCTGGGATAGGAAAGGCGTTTTGCTTACTGAATTTCTTCCCAGAGGTGAAACCATTAATGCGTCACGATATTGTAAGACTTTAACAAAACTAAGGTGTGCCATTCAAAACAAACGAAGAGGAATGCTCAGTAAAGGAATTGTGTTGCTCCATGAGAATGGTCGGCCCCATACTGCTGGTGTCAATTCAATCGTTAATTCGCCAGTTTCATTGGGAGCAGTTCGATCACCAGCCGTACAGCACGGACTTGGCGCCGTCCGACTATCACTTGTTCCTGCACCTGAAGCGCGAGCTTGGTGGCAAGCGCTTTGGATCTGACGATGACACGAAAAATGCTGTGGAGTCGTGGTTATCGAAATTGGCGGAAAGTTTCTTTGACGATGGTATACAAAAAGTGGTCACCCGCTATGACAAGTGTTTGATCATTGGCGGAAACTGTGTTGAAAAATAGTTTAAGACATGTATTTTCATGTAAAAATAAAATTGGATTCAAAAAAATTGTTTTACTATTTTTTTTTTTTTTTTTTTTTTTTCAAAACGGTACTTAGTTTCCGAATACGCCTCGTAAATTCTGCCACCCGATGCAGCCATATGAGCTCTGGCACCAGTTCTGTAATTATGTGAGTGAACAAATCAATTATTCTTAATTCAAATAGTACTAAACCTAATCTTTTGGCCAATGAATATCATTAACAAAATCTATTTTTAGCATATGGGAAGAAATTGTTATTAAATTTTTTCTCGTCAGCATTTCTTCATGCATTTAACTTAGATCTGTAATCATCGCCAAGCGTAATGTCAACAGAAAATATCACCATACTCTTTGTTATTCAGTTACTAATATTAAAAAAAAAAAAATTGTTTAGGCATTGCTGCATGAATCATTACTCCAGTTGACGTGTGTTAGATAAACATACTGTGGTGAAAGCAAAATATAATAAATAATGATTCTCCAGGTTGGCATCAGGAATATAAAATAGTTAGCAGGTGTAAAATCAACTATGTTTTTGTGTAGAACTTTTAGGTTTGAGATAGATATGCAACTAGAGTCAAATTATTGATCACATAAGTTTATGCTAAAATTGTTTCTTCAATAATGAGGTATTTTATTTGGTGCCGAAGCGAAATTAAGAGTCGGGACCCTCCGCAAGTTTTATTATTGAGAGTGGGGAGGGAATCAGGTGTGAATGCATTCCTTTTGGGTTTGACATATATCATCAGTATCTTTAATATATTGAAAAGGGAAAAAAAAAAAATATTTAAGAGTAATTTATTTTGTTGCAAAAAGAATTTGCGAGAAAGAGTGTGAAAGTGTTCCATAAAAGCCACTCAACTTTTGACAGTGCTTTTCTATAATTAATTAGCGTTTAAATATAAAAATTTTCTTCGTCGTAAGAACACTGAAAAATTTGCTGGGTCCTTTCTTTAAAAAAAAAAAAAAAAAAAAAAAATTTGTTTTATTACAGAATGATGGAAACATTACTGTTCCAGCTATTTTGCTTAAAAAAAAATTGTCCGTATGGAAAATAAGAAGGGAAGGAAAAATACTTCGGGTAACATGAGTGATAGTAAATAATGGCATTTTGGGAGCTATTTTTATCCTCAACAATATGTAATTTAACAGCACTTAATATGGAATATGTGTTCAAGTTCTGTCATAAATATTGTTTTTTAATCCAGAAAATTAAGAACTAGTTAAGACTTAACTTCTTAATTTGTAATGCTGTTTCTATTCGTCCGTTATTTACTTTTTTTTTTTTTTTTTTTTTTTTTTTTTTTTTTTGGAATGCCGTTGTCATTTACAATCCCAGGTGAATTTTTCTCCACATTTACAGCTTCAGAATGCAAGAAAATTAACAATAATATTGTTACAAATTTTATACTTAGACAGGTAATTTTAGTGGAATTCTAAGTAAAGGTCCTTTTTTTTTTTTTTTTTTTTTTTTTTTTTTTTGCTCAAGAAAAATTTTAAGAGAAAGTTACGCCGGAAAAGTAAGAATACGGGGGCAATTGCATTTAACATTGAGTAAAGGGTATCTCGGTAATTTGGTGAGATATCCTCAAGCCGATAACGGTTTTTGGCGATTTATTTTGTTACCAAATTTGGTGACATTTTGTTCTGATCCATGTATCACTGTAATATGTATTGAAATTGAATAAATTTAACTGACTACTATGTTAGTTGTAACCATAATTCAACCCTCGTATTGCTTTCCAGTAATTTTGAGAAGCATAAAGTGCTAGAAATATCTTGTGGCCATTTGAAAACTATTTAAGGCTGAAGAGATAACATCTGCTCTCAGTTGTTTAGTTAGCTAATGCTGTTGTTGCGAGTTCAGCGTGAGATTGGATTAGCTGGCTTTTTAAATGCGCTTCGCATTACATTGCTTTAACCTTCTTAGTAGTTCAAAGTGTAACTACTGATTATATTGTGTGTTACTGGGAACACTTGTATGAATATTTCTGTGGAAAATTCCAGAGTTCTGAAATATTTCTTTTGATAAAAATAAATTTTATTAACCTATTATCGGACTTGCACATTCAATCTATTATGAACCCATACGCAAGCGGCAATATTTTTCTGTTAATTGAAATATAGGTTATTTCTCTTTTTTGCATGTTTTTTTAATTATGATTATGTATTAACCATAGTTGCCGTCCATCGTATTACCTAATTTCATCAAGAATCAACTGTACTGCAAAAACTGTGGCTTTGTATCCATTATTTATTTATGCTTGGATGATTGCAGCCTCCTCGTGGTGTATTCAAGTTTCTGCTAGTATTCAAAAGATGTAATTTTTAGTTCTGGAAACTGTGGTTTATCACAATTTAACTGTGAATTAAAATAGTGTATGAGACAGTCCATAGGCTTAGTATTTGTGTAAATGTGTGAGTTATTATTTAGAGAAGAGTAAGGAACATCTGTTATATTTTTAAAAACTTACTGCGTGTTGAAAATATTGAAGTTCGTATTGTGATTATTTGTTATAAATTTTTTGCATTGCTATACTAAATACAAATAATTATTTATTAATAAATGTATATCAAATAAATTAGCAAAACTTTTTATCTTTCTTCAAAGTATAGTATTTGTCCTTGTTTTATTAAGATTTCTTATGCATGAATTAGTTTTTCTTATTGTGAGTGCAGTTTTTTTAAATATTTAAAAATGTGGTTAATATGTCTAAATGAAATTCTGTTCTCCTTGTAGCTGGAGTCAAAATGCTTATATTGTGTGATCTTTTTACTAAGAGAAAAAATGAATTATCTCGGGAAGAGAGACATGAGATAATTAAATACTGCAAATCCAGGTATGTAAAAAAAAAAAATCCTCTTTGAACTCCATATAAAAATACACTACAATAAGTGTAGATGCAATTGTATGTATATACAATAATGCAGCTATAATAGTTTTCAAAAAAGACTTACAGGTTAGACCCTCAGGCATATGTTAGGTATTGCTTTGCATACTGTATCCATTCTTCTGTATCTACTTTATGTCTTTATGCCCACTCCCAAGGAAGGGGTTACATAAAAGATAAATTACAGGACTAATATCTGTAAATGTAAATTTGATTATTTTTGTTTAATGATGTTATTTCTATAACTGAATTAACATGTTTTAAATGTTTTACATACAGATTGCCAATTTTTATGAATCAGTTATACAAGCTACTAGATGTGATAAAAATATCATTTGGAAATTTATCTGCTGCTGAAAGAATGGACATTGCTTCTTATTTTGTTCCTGAAGTAAGATTACTATTGTTGTTATTGTGAATAATTGTTATAACAGTTACGAATAATTGTTATACATATTACAAAAAATTACAAAATTTTCATGTAAAATATTGCGTTAAATTATCATGATAGGTAAAGGCAGATTCACAAAATGAAATGTACAATTGAATTTCCATTAACAATCTTTCCATTTTAGCAAGTTAATGGACAGCTAATGGATCCTTGAACCTTGAAAGTAGGAGCATGCAATCACGGTTAAAGGCACTTCTTTATGATGCACAAAACTTAAGCCTTATGAGTGTTCTCTGATGAGAGTATATATTTTCATTTCTATCATGAAAGATAATTATGATTGAGCATATGGAAAGGATAGCAGTTGCTGAAAAAGCTAAAATAATCTGTGATGTAAAACTGTAATATAATTTTAAACAAATTGTTAAATCATTATATAGCAGTTGCTGAAAAAGCTAAAATAATCTGTGATGTATAAAACTGTAATATAATTTTAAACAAATTGTTAAATCATTATATGCAATTGATTGACGAAGGTTCTCTGCATTATAACTTGGAAAGATTCTGCTACATATTGAAAATATAATTTTCATCTCGCATGATCATGGGCGCAATATACATCCCACAGTTTTATACAGGGTATCATATTTTGAATAAGAGTGTAGTTAGCAGCGTGACAAAGGAAATGGAATGAAGTAATATCTTGTCAGCAAAAGAGCCGAAGCAAAAGTACACAGTTATCCAATATGGAGACTCGCCAAGAGAAGGTTTCGATTTAGGTTAGAAAGGTTTTGGTGCTTAAAATTTTGAGTTCAAGTTCCGAATCAGCTACATCATCAGTGTTATGCAAGCCATTTGATATAGATTAATCTAAAAATGGTGCAGTCAACAAAAGTTATTATTTTTAGAATACAGAGAGAAAATACCCAAAATAAAAATGATGAATAAAGAGGCTACTGCTAAATAAAATTATAAAGGTGTTTTTATCCTACATATCCTCCCCTTCAAAGAGAAAAAAAGGCTTAGCATTAGCGAAACAAGAAAAATACAATTTTGGAAGGGGAAAAAAAAGTCAAATTTTTTAAAAAATATTCTTTTTAAAATAAAATATTGTAGATATTATTTTTAGCAATATAAGCAAATTGAAAATGCTATTGAAATTTTGAAAAACACATATGTCAAATGTGAGTCTGCAAGTTAATTTTTCTGTAAAAATATTGTAAGGAATGTCCTAATTTTTTCAAGAAATAACTGCAGTTCACAGTTCTGTAAAATCTTTGCTTGAATATTATAATATTTTGCAATCATTAGCTTGGAAGTCTTCTGTAAAAATTTTTGTTGTCAATATAAAACCAAAATTTTCTCTTACGTATTCATGAAATGTGTATTAAAATTAATTAAACACTTACAAAATAATCCACATTTTCTTAATCATAAAGCAATGTTAAATGGAATTTAAAACTTAATAAACATAGAAAAGTAACAAAATTCAGTACAATAATAAAATTAACTTTGCTAAAAATGGGTAGGTCCTACAATGCAAATCAGTGTAATGGATTGCTGATGGCAGTGGCATGTTCAAATATAATAGAACCTAAAAACCTCCATTCCTTAAAAAAAAGGTAACTGGCTTTTAGTATTATATAATTACCAAAGTTTGCATTTAAAATCTTTAAATTAGTTAAATGAAATTAAAAAATATACAAAAATTAAAATTTAAGTTATATACCTAGTATACTCAAATAAAGGTCTTTTAAATTTTGAAATTCTACACTGCCTCATAGTAATAATATAGACCATATAATTTCATGAATATAAAATAAGAAAATAAATACTCTTCATAATTAGGGAATGCTTTTAAAACTTTTCAAATGTAAAAAGTTTAAATGCATCTAATAATTACCTTACAAAATAACAAGAAATTTTGAAGTATTATTCGAAGTATTATATCAAAACCAAAATGCATTTTTTCAAACATAGTTTAGGGAAATTCAATTTCGATGCAAGAGAAATGGTCAAAAAAGTCACAAAGTCTGGTTTTTAGACATCTTAATGCACCCTCTACTGGAACATTGGTGAATAATGATTTTACATCCGAAGAAACCACAGTGAATTTCTAGGAGAAATGCTTTTAGTTTTTTTACAAACTCTATTGAATTTTTTATGGTGTAAATGTTGTTAGCTAATAGAGTTGAAAAAGAAACTAAATATTTAGCTAACAGGTATGAGGCAGTGTCTAAATTTATAACAATAAGGCAGAAAGGAATACCATTTTTATGAATTTTGGGAACAGCATATAATCTAGCACAATTTGCAACAGATTGTATAAGCGACTGTTTTAAGTTTGTCGAAAGGATTTGTGAAGATTTGATCAGAGTTTCTATTTTTAAGAGGTCCGAAGGTGAAGTGTCTTTAGGGAATGGATTATATGATCCCTCGTTTTAAGAGTTTAGTGACACCATTGATGTAAGTGTTCTTGTCCATGACAACAATCTGACCACCTTTGTCGGCCATTGAAATGATAATGTCTGGGTTAAAATGGGTTTGCGCGCATTGTAGCTCTTTCTCTCTTGTTTAGATTTGGTTTCAAAGATTTCCTGTTGAATTTCACATTATGAGATGCCTATCATTTCTTTCTGTGTATCTGAAACTTTACTCAATTTGAAAGCCTATTTGAAAGGAACCAAAATCTTTGGAATCGAGGGTTTTGAGGTTTGTGAGAAGTTAAAATTATATTTCAGAATCCTCTGTTCTTCTGATAAACTAACACTAGAAATATTAACTATTGGCTTAATATTTACAATGGGAAGATTTTTTTGAACTACTTAAATTGGAAAACTGTAAATAAAGTTTTCCGAATTTAAATGTAAGAGTGTTTTTATGATGGTTAACTACATTCTCAGTTCTAGACCAAGACTTTTCAATGGCAGTGAATTTTGGATATGAATTCGCGAGTTCCAGATGCATCTTATGTAGCTCAAGTTCAATTTTGGACAATTGGAAGATTTTTGATTAGCTTTGATTTGAATAGATTGGGATTTATGTTTACACTTTAGTAAAAAGTCAAGGGGATTCAAAAATTTCCATCGTTTCAGGCAGAATTTAGTGAAATGATTAATGGATGAAGGCATGATAAACAATGGAGAAAATCACACCAAATTAACTAACCAATGATAAAGCTTGAAACATTATCAAAATTTTACACTGAAAATGAATACAAAACAAATATTTGCAACTATAAAGCATGAAATCAGATAAGCAAAGCACAATATCAAATAAGAAAAATGAAAATGTGTAAAATGTAAATCAAACTTAAAAATTGGAAAAACACTTATTGAAACTCGAACAATCACAAAATGATGAACACACCATGTGGAAAAAAAGGAAGCAAAAGATAAGCCTGTTTGGGGCTCCTATAATTAAGATAAAATAACACGCTGAACAAGTATTAATTTAGAAGTCAGGCAACAAAAATCGGTGTTATATTTGCAAATTTTCACAGGACTAGTTTTGATGATTTTACCGAACCATTGTCCTCAGCTGCCAAAGCACAAATGAACTAGATAAGATATAGTGATTAGATAAGATAAGAATGATTGGACAGGAGTTAATCTACTGGCCGCATCTATTGATAAAACGAGAACTAAAACATAATTTCCTTAAAGGCTAAAGGCAAAGATGGATTAGAATTAGGATCGTTAACTAGAACAGAAAGATTTTTTTTAATGTGAAGCACCTCTAGAAAATCTAATTCACCAATGGAAGATGTTTTTGTAATAATTTTAGCTGCAGAAAAATGGAAAGTGTGATTGTTGGATAGGTAAAATAAACCACACTGGCAAGGTCCTGCAAATACCCCAGAAATTCATATCCAGAATGGAATCCTTGAGTATGGAACTCTGAATTTTATTGATAGGAGAATAAAGTGTCCTGTGAAAATCTGCAAATATAACACTGACTTTTGTGGTTTGACTTCTAAATTAATACTTGTTCAGTGTGTTATTTTATATTAATTATATGCTTATATATTAAAAGAATTAATTCTACTACTTAAACTAGCTAATTCAAATTTAGAAATTAATTATTCCACTTTTAATGTAACATATAAAAATAAATAATATAAATGACAGTAGTTTTAAAAAAGTAGGTATTTCATTATAATCTTATAACAGCTTGTTTGAGTGTGTGAACAAAATCGGAAAATGCTGTGTTCTTGGAAACTAGTATGATAAATACAGCTGCAGTTAGTTTTTTAACAGAAAAAAATATAGAGAGACGGAAAGTTGATATAAGTGTGAGAAATTTAACTAAAAAGATTACATCTGTGCAAGCATTCGTAGGACGTGAAACACATATAAGTCTCTTGATAAAAAAGTAATAAGACTATATTAAGAAATTTATTCAAAATTATTACATAAATTTTAATTCAACTGTGATTAAAAAAAATCTGCAACTTCTGTTCAGCCCATTTCGTATTAGATTTAGGTGTAACATTTCATGCGAATCAGCTGTTTAACTGTGCAAGATTAGAATGACAAATGTAACTAAGCAAGTTGTCTTTTCTATAAAATTATGTAGAATTTTAATATTTTTGAGAATTTTAATTTAAAATTCCTCTAAAATCTTTTCATTATTTTCTACACCTTTTTCACAACATGAACTGAAATAGATAATTTTAGCTTAGCTTATACCGTCCGTTATACATTAAACGCGCATGCATAAGTGTATTATGCGCATATGCGTTTACGCATGCACAGAAAGTTTGTAGTTTCAAGGTCCGGATTAAAGACTTTTGACTGTAATGTCTTTCATTTTTATCAGCAGCCATAGAATTTTGTCTCGTCTTGGCTTTTGGTAGTTGTCACTACCATTTTACTATAAATACAAATCCAATAAAGATTACTATTAATGTAAGTGTCAATTAAATTCTTTCGGTGGTTCAGGTTTAAAACAATAGATAAAAGTTTCACTTTAGAAACACAACAACAATTAGTTTATTT